CACAAGACGTGATAAAGCCGTCTATTTTGGTGAGTATAGACTTTCCTGTGTCTTGAAGCAAGCAGCGGTCTTAAGAAAAGAACATGTAATTATGCAATTCAGATTATTATTGGTAATGGTGGAAGTACAGAAACATCTAAGTAAATTAGACCACGTTATCCCAAATGGCAGCATTTTATACATTAAGACCCACAGCCTTCTCATGATGATGGTGTCCAAAGGATTGAAGTCTTTACCACAACATGTGTACAGTTCAGATCACCCTTCCACTCGCTCCCCTCCAAATCTGTATCTGCTGGCACTTCATCGGCCTTGTCCAAAACAAACGCAGAAAGGGGGAGGAGGCAAAAGGACAGTGGTGATGCAGCTGTTCTTGTTTATTGGATGGGAGACTTTTTAGCAAGAAAGGGATTATGCATACCCGGTAGGGTCTGTTCTGCCAGCCAGTGAAAGACCATTGATCTGTTATGGTTTCTCTTCACCAAAGAAATAAGATTTGAATTGGGATACCAGAGAGGTAGTGTGTTCCATATACAGAGAGACATCAGTTGAGCTTTTGTTATTATCTGATGTTGAGTCTGAAGCCTCTTCATAGTGAATGGGCACCATACCATAGTTGTTCAGCCCTGAAAACCAGGGGAGAAATGCTGGAAATTTTTTGCCTACTGTAAACAGTATGAATCAAGAATTTTGAAAATTAGAAAATGGACTAAAGAAAAAAAAGCTTCAGAAGTCCTACAGATCACCCATTTTTGAATCAGACAGTTACACATAATGGTAGTCAACTTCAGAAGAAGAGAAAATCTCTAGAGAAATGACACTAGAATCCAATCATTGTTTAAAATACACATTTTATGCCTTTTGTGTAGCATATGAGAAAAAGGATTCTGAGAAAGAGAAGCCAGAGATTTAAAATAAAATAAGCACACTCTGATTTAAGGAATGAGCTTTCATTATTCAATACAAATTTGAAAAGACAAAGAAACTTATCAGACTAAATTAAATGAGGAGCTCACAGCATTGTAGATGACTCATTGCAATTCAAGAAATTTATAACAGTGTAGAGGAAAACATAGAGAGCAGATGGTGAAAAGAATCCTCAGTACAAAACAGAGATCAGCACTGAGCTTAAGAGCCAGAAACCATCCTTCAGCCTAGTACCAATGGCAAGAAAATGCTGCCGTTAAAATGATTAAAAGCCATGCTGCGCTTCGAAGCCTTTTTTTTTTTTTTCTTCAAAAGGTTTCATTGGGTAACCAAATTAGAGCTCTCCTGCAGCTACTGGATTTGAAACAACTAATTAGAAGAACTTCCCATTGATTCATCATAGGAACATTAGAGCAGTCTTTATAAATGGGCAAATAGGATTTGCCTATCTTACAATTTTCCAGTTAAAAAGAGCTTTAACAATATATGGGTAGGATCTTTAGGGTCTAAATAATTTCTGCTCTAGTGCGCAACTGTTATAAGAACCTGAAATTTCTCCATAGAAAGTATTGCTTTTAGTAGCACTTCACAACAATAAAAGAATTGGAAACTGAGCTACCTGAAGCTGGTTCTTTGTACAATAAATTTCTGACTGGGAGCCTTTTCTAAAAGTTGCTATTTCTTCCAAGATGTGAATAGATAACCTCTGTATGACAAATATAGGACCATCCTTCGTAACGTATAAGGAATGGTTAATGGTGGGTTTTTTGTGACTTTGTGTAAAAAAGAACACTTTTTTTTTTACCAATATCTCAATGCAAACACAAATACACTTCTCATATTCACAGACTTACGTACACACTGCATTTGATTTAGAGGATGCTGGCACAGTGCTACAGGCATGATGTGAGCCTTGCTATATGGGGTTTTCATTTTCAAGCCCAGCTCAAGCACAGCTGGCCTAGGAGAGGGCTGATGTAATTCTCTATCTAGGTGTTTCCCAGGGAGACGACATAGGCTACTTCTCATATTGAACATTTAAGATGATCTCCTGTTGTGCCAGGACTGTGTTTTCACAGAGTGGTAGGGGTTGGAAGGGACCTTTGGAGATCACCTAGTCCAACCCCCCTGCTAAAGCATGTTCACCTAGAGCATGTTGAATGGGAACACGTCCAGGCATTTTTTTAATATTTCCAGAGCAGGAGACTCCACAACCTCTCTGGGCAGCCCGTTCCAGTGCTCTGGCACCCTCAAAGTAAAGAGGTTCTTCCTCATGCTGAGATGGAATTTCCTGCATACCAGTTGGTGCCGTTGCCCCTTGTCTTGTCGCTGGACATCACTGAAAAGAGTCTGGCCCCATCCTCTTGACACCCGCTCTTTAAATATGTATAAGCATTGATGAGATCACCTCTCAGTCTTCTCCAGGTTAAACAGACCCAGCTCTCATCCTTTCCTCGTCAGACAGGTGCTCCATTCCCTTGATCATCTTCATAGCCCTCCGCTGGGCTCTCTCCACTAGTTCCCTGTCTTTCTTGAACTGGGGAGCCCAGAACTGGACACAGTACTCCAGATGTGGCCTCACTAGGGCAGAGTAAGGGGGAGGATGACCTCCCTCATTCTGCTGGCCACGCTCTTTTTAATGCACTTCAGGATACCATTGCCCTTTTTGACTACAAGGGCACATTGCTGGCTCATGGCCAACTGATTGTCCCCCAGGACTCCGAGGTCCCTCTCTTCAGATCTGATTTCCAGCAGGTCAACCCCCAGCCTGTACCTGTGCATGGGGTTGTTCCTCTCCAAGTGCAGGAGCCAACGCCTGCCCTTGATGAACTTCACTAAGTTCCTCTCTGCCCAACTCTCTAGCCCATCTGGGTCTCACCGTATGGCACCACAGCTTTCTGGCGTATCAGCCAATCCTCCAGTTTTGTGTCAGCGGCAAACTTGCCGAGCGTATGCTCTGTCCCCTCATCCGGATCATTGATGCATATGTTGAACAAGTCTGGGCCCGGTATCAGTACCCTGGGGAATGCCACTAGTCACATGCCTCCAACTGGAATCTGCATCCTTGGTCACAACCCTCTGAGCTCTGGTGTTCAGCCAGTTCTCAATTTACCTCACTGTCCACTCATCTAACCCAAACTTCCTAAGCTTGCCCATGAGGATGTTATGGGAGACAGTGTCGGAAGCCTGGCTGAAGTCGAGGTGGGCAATATCCACTGCTCTCCCCTCATCCACTCAGCAAGTCATGCCATCATAGAAGACTACCAGATTGGTCAAGAGGGTTTTGAGATGGGCTTGCTCAAATGGAAGAGTACTGCAATCCGCTCAGGCTGAGAACACACATAAATTACTGTATAAATTTGGAAATCAGAAGCCAAGGAAAAATGCACCACATGTGGTACACATGAAAAGCTTATAAAGGTTGTCATAGTTTGAAGAAGTGTAATAGTAGTAATCTCTATTTAAAAAGACTAAAAGGGCCAAGAATATAATTATATCCACAGTTTAACATGGTGTTTGCTGTAATCAAGCTTGATCGTTTAACAAGGGTTTGGCTGGCTGCCCAGTGAACCCCCAAATGCAGTGAGATGAAGCTGTGAGGTGCTGGGGAAGGTAGCCCAGCTGATATCCCCCACCTGTGAGCAGGCACACAGGGTGTATCAGACGTATCTGAAAGGTTGCTATAACTCCCTCAGACCTGCCCCTAAATTAGCTCAATACCACTGAATGACTCAAAACCAGCAAATGGTAAACAAATGTGTATGAGCAATTGCCCTCATAGGCCCATGATCAGTGTTTAGCAAATACAAGTCATGTTTGCTAGCTCCTGTTTTCCTTTAAACAAAACTGTCTTTGTTCCCTGCTTGGTGTAGTTGATTTTACCCCTGAGAAATATTGTGAGAGCTTAGCTTCACCCACAATTTCAAGAGTAAAAATTTCATTTTTACTGAGGGACTAGTTATACATACCCAGGGATAACATTTTGAACCTATGAATGCTTTTTATTTATTTGTATTTTGTTCTGTTCAGTTACTTACATTATGCTGTTTAAAGAGTTGCTGAAAAATAGGTTAATCCTTTCTTCAGCATGGTGGTATGCTTTTTTCCTCTCATTCCCTTGTATCCAACCTGTGGTTAAAATGCCGTAAGTACAGGTGCAGGACAGTTTCCTGTGTAAGCTCTGTTTTGTCCACTGAAGACTTTTGGTAGCTTTTTTTTGCATTTAGTGTTACATGTTGGGCTGGGTTTTTTCACATTAGAAAGGACGGGATTATTATACCACAGAATAGTGATCCACAGGGAAGATTGAGGGTGGATGGTAGTTTATTTTCTCTCTCGGATAAATGCATTGTCACAGAGAAAGAAATTGTCATGTGCATGTCTGTGTGTAGAATTTTCCTTTTTTCAAAGGAAAGGTGGTTTTCAAAGGAAAACAACTGCTTTTGTTTTCTTTAGTCTTTGCATTCTAGAATTTATTTATTGTTTTCATTTCTTAAACTTCCTGAAATATTCACGTGAAACAAAACTAAGGCATGAAATCTTGTGGACTGGAAGCAGATTCTTATTTCGTTTTCCTAGGGAGACTCTTTCATTCAAAAGATAAAAACAGAAGTCATAAATATATGTTATTTTTAGGAGACAGCTCCTTGGAAGCATAGAAAAGGTTAAGTAAGATTCGTAATAGAGGATTGTGGAGAGGTGTGTACTAAACCGGTATTTGTTAGTGGAAAGACAAAGAGCAAAAGCTGTGAACCGCTGGAAGAACTTTTTTTTCTTTTGATGGTAGCTGGTTTGTTGAGCTTACTCGATTATCTTCAAGACTGTTGAACAACATGACTGCTTTTGTTGTAACATTTGGGAAAGCTGCACATCAGTACTATTAAAACAGCTTTAGTGTCTTGAGAATATTACACCTTCCTTAACGTGCCTGACCAGTTCAATAAAATAAACAAAGGTGCTGTTCTAGGATGCGATTTTTGCACCATTTAAAATTATTGCATATATAGCAGTGCACCTTTTCCTTTTTTTTCCCAAAAAGGCAGAAAATCCAACTCTTAAATTTAGTTAACCCCATGGTGAGATCATTTGGCTCTTGGGTGCAGCCACCCATGTTGGGCCCCTTCCAAAAGCTGCTGGAAGCAGTTCCTACACACTGCGCTGCTGCAGACCTGCAGTATCAATTACAGCAGCTAGGTTTGGGGGTACCTTTGCCCCCACGGTTTGCCCATAACCCAGTCCCTGCCTCTGGCCTCCTCTAACAAGCTGGCTCTTCCACACACATAGCTACCTCACGGATGGGCTAAAATGCCCTTGCTGCTGCCAGGCCAGCTGGCAGAAACAGGATTCCCTGTGTCTGTGTTAAGCTGTGTCACTTTATTTTACCCAGAAGAATAAACCGAATGTACATTTTACACACTTGGATTAATACATTTAATGCAGATTATCCTGAATGTAGTATTTACTGTCTCTGAAACTCGGTTCTGCCCTGGATGTGATGTCCTCGGAACCTGGTTGCGCACAGCCGGTGGTGAGGAGTGGCATAGGCCCTTCTTTCTATGTTGTGGTATATAGCCATTTTTCTGAAGCTGGTCTGCACTTGAACAAAGGAGTTACTGGTATATACTTGAGACATTAATTCCAGGTTATATGGTTTCCCTGAGAATTGCCATCTGTCATGCTTTTCTGCCTGGAGGTCACTCAAAGTTACCTCAGGTTGGTATCCTAAAACAGTAGGTTGGAAAGGATGAAACGTGTGCTTTGTCTTTAACCCTTAGTTATCCTTTTCCCTTTCAGCACCCTCCTTGATAGGTATGGTAAGGAAGGACTGGGCTTCCCAAAACAGCATTGCCCTCTCCTGGCAAGAGCCGGACTTTCCCAATGGAGCCATTCTGGACTACGAGATCAAGTACTATGAGAAAGTAGGTCTCACTTCTAGCATCACCCAAACTCAGATCCTAAAGAGCGATATGTTTCTTATTTTTAATCATCATAATAATAATAAAACTTTAACTTTTCACTTGATCCCACATACAATGCTATATAAATACACATTTTATTTTGTACTGATTTTTTGTCGTTTTACTTGTGACTTGTAAATGACTGTTTTGTTTCACGTCAAACTCGAGTGTAGCAGCAGCCAAGAAGTAGATATATCTGTCTCATAGTAACTACATTTACAAACATGGATAAATGGCTCATATGCTTGAACATATTTTTATTTATGGACTGTAAAAATTACATTAGAATGACACTGAAACAATACAGTTGAGGTGAATGCCAATGTGATTTAATTTTGCAACATTATTTAGCAGTAACCTCTGCTTAAATGAGGGGGCACCAGCCTTGTTTAGAGGGTTACAAAATATTATAGGAGAGAGAAACTGCACTGCAGTTGTGTCAGATTTCTGGCATTCTGTCAAAATTATGTGATTTCACACAAAAATGGGCAACAACATGCATTACAGATAAAGGTACAAGGTGCAGGCACAGCACATCTTCTGAAAACATATTTTGAATCCTGCTTCTCCCAAAGCACAAAACGCATTTTTTCATTTCCAGTTGCCTACAGGGTCTTGCACTTGCAGTGTAAAATGTAATGCTAATCAGTGCCTTCATTTCTAGGGACATATGCAGGATTTTTTTTAGTGTCCATACCTTAAGCAGTTGCCTGCTAAGTCAGTTCTTGCTTTTTCTCTGTCCCTATCTGAACATCACAATTGAGCTAATGGGTATGTAAGAAGACCACAAGAACAGACAAATTCTTGTGTGAACTTGACATAAGCCAAGTCATAAAAGAAAGATTTGGGGATGTTAGCCTCTGTAAATATCTGAGAATTTCCTTCTTTGGCTGCACTTCTCTCTTGAGATTATGCAGCTTTAATGATGCAGAAAAAAGGGTACACTGGGGAAAAAATATTTTAAAAATTAAAAAGCACAGCTAGAGGGATAAGACAGACTGCTTATAATACTTGGTAGTCAAAGCAAGGAAACCTTTCCTACGCTGCTGAAAGCCCTTCAGGTTTTTATCCGTTACCATAGTAAGCCACATTGTGACTTGCCCTGCCCTTGTCTTGTTTGTTGATAGTAAAATAATAACCACGTGAATTAAACAAGGTAAATAGTGAGATTTTATTAAACTGAGTAGGAACAATTTCAAATATTCAAAACTATTCAAATGGATGTTAAATTTTAAATCTTATATTCATTTAAAAAAACTTCTGAACAGTTTGTCTGCCAGTATCTGTCAGTTCTGAGTGACATGTCAAATAGCTTTCTTTACAGGTCTACATATTGCTCAGATTTGTCCATTGTGCATCAAGACTAGATACACAGGCTGCTCATCCCTTTGTTACACACAGTTTAAACCACTCCTATCCATTTCTGCCAAAAAAGAACCATTTTCTGGTTTCACCTTTTCTAAGGAGTATCTTTTGACTATAAAATTCTCTCCCCTTAGGTGTGGAGAGATAAATAAACTGCTGGTATCTTCTACTAGTGTTGCACTGGGGTTATTTTCTCCCTAAGACACTCACTGAACTGAATGCATAGCTCTTGAATATACCTTCTGTTAGTAAATTGGGACAGGCATTCTCTCTGGCGATGCAATATAATAGGCAGAACGAGAGACAAACAAGCCAGCCATAGCAAAAAGATTCCTTATTTAAGCAGAGGAATAGATATGAGACAGATTTTGAAGAACTCTCTTGGAGGCCAGATTCTGGAGCAGAGATGGGTAATCAAGTACTGTAAATCAGTTTGCTGATTTGCAGTATGAAATTAGAAAATTACATAGTGCTGAAGAAAAGTACACTGTAAATTTATTACTGCACAAGTGTAACAGCCAAATGCAAAGGGGATTTGTATATTGGGAAAAAAAAAAAAAAGGGTGTCAGGAGTAGACACAGCAAGTGATGTAATCTTTCAGGTTTCCCAGTGACCCTCAAAGAGGGAAATGTCAGCATCTGTATTCTCAGCAGCAGTGACAAAATAGGGATAGCGTTGTATACCCACAAGAAATGTTATAAGTGTCTACTGGATTTAGTATGAATTTACCACAAAGGCATCCCTTTACTGGAGAGTAAAAATTTCAGCTAAAATTCAAGAACATGCTGAATATGAAAAGCTCAGAATTTTTATTAATGTCTTAAGTAGTCAATAAAAATGCAGAGAACGGTATCCTTAGGTACTAATAAACACACTAGTAAGATAGAACAGCTTTTGCAGTCCCATTCTTATGTCTTTTCACCTGCCGTTTGTGTTTAAAAAAGAAAATAGCCTTTGTTCTTATATGCAATACAAGAAATTGAATTTTCCATCAATAAAAAGCATTAAATACCCCAGAATCAACAGATCTGTATCAGTTTCTTAACATTGTGAAACTCTGAAAAACTCTGCAGGATTTTAAAATTTCACAACTGTGAACTACTATTTCTTACAAGATACCTTGTTGACATTTGCAGAATTATCAAGATGGCATTGGGGAGCATGCTAGGGGAGCATGCTTGCTTTTAATTACAACCAATATGAATTCTGCACCTCATAAAAGGAAGTTGTATCTTGCCGTGTGTAAACTTTCAGAAACCAAGCAGCTGTCTAATAAACTACTGTGAGCACTCCACAAAATGGGGCAGTTTCCAACCATTTTGTAAGCAAGACAAATTAGTCACAGTGCTCCCAGAACATCTTTACATGCATATCCCG